ATCTTTCAGCGTATCGTGCGCATCGTCCGGTCTTACGCGAACGCTCTGGTGAGCGCTGCCGAAGACCCGGAGAAAATTCTCGACCAGACGGTGCTTGAGATGAACGAGGATCTTGCGAAGATGAGGCAGGCGTCGGCGCAGGTGCTGGCGTCGCAGAAACAGCTGGAGAACAGGTACAAGGCGGCGGAGACCACGGCCAGCGACTGGTACCGGCGGGCACGACTGGCGCTCGAGAAAGGGGATGAGATGCTCGCCAAGGAGGCGCTAAAGAGGCGGAAGGATTACGACGATAGCGCCAAGGCACTTAAAGCGCAACTAGACCAGCGAAAAGTGGTCGTCGACAAACTCATTTCCAACACGAGACTGCTGGAGACGAAGATTCAGGAAGCGAAGTCGAGGAAGGACACGCTGAAAGCGCGCGCGCAGTCGGCGAAGACGAGCCAAAAGGTTCAGCAGATGGTCGGGTCCATAGATACCAGCAGCGCGCTGGCGGCGTTTGAGAAAATGGAAGAGAAGGTTCTGGCGCTGGAGTCCGAGGCGGAGGCTGTCGCGCAGATTGGCACGGATGACTTGGCCACTAAATTCGCTCTCCTGGAAGGGGATTCTGTCGATGATGACCTGGCGGCGCTCAAGAGAGATATGGTAGGCGGAGGAGCGGCGAAGAGACCGGCGGAGTTACCGCCGGCTGGGGGCGGAAGTGCCGCCCCACCAGCATCAGCGGAGGCGGCTGGACCCTACCCCTACAAAGACCTAGAAATCGAGAGAGAGCTAAATGAACTGAGGAGGAAAGCGAATGAACTTTGAACCAGGTCGTCGGTCGTCTTTGCTTGTAGACATTGTCTCCACCTGCCTGCCCCGCCTGCGCATATCTGCCTGTATCTGTATGCTATGCTTGTTTAAGGTCACCCACATTCGATCATTACATTGAGTCGTGTATTCTGTATAAGCCTTTCTACCGGGAAAAAAGAGAAAAAAAAAGAAAGGGAAAGAAAACAAAGACGGACAGAATCTCTGTCTGCGTATATGCTATGCTTGTCTAATCTCAATCTCACCTACGTTCAATCATTTCATTAAGTCGTATTTTCTTTGTTTATCAGCCTTCCAACCCTCCCCATGAAAAAAAGGAAAGGACAAAATCTCGACCGGAGCTGGCCACCTCAGCGGGCGCTCAGCACACACACACACACACACACACCTGTCTCTTATACACATCTAGATGTGTATAAGAGACAGGTGTGTGTGTGTGTGTTTATCAATCAAGCATATACAAACATCGGGCTGCGCACCCGTGCCCTCACGGTAAGTCAATAGTCAAACAGTCTCATACTCTAAGTTACAGAAAGAAAACCCGCCGCGGCTCACGCAACGCCCCCAACTCTCAAACTGAAATCCCTTTTCGCCACTTGCAAAAACAAGGGCGGATACCCTTGTAAGGGTATTCACGCCGACAGCGTGTCAGTGACCGGGAGCACAAGGGCAGGCGCTAGCCTCAAAATTGGGGTAACTTCAGTAGAGTCACAAAAACGAGTCATAATTGCGCTATGGGTCAAGATACAGTTTGCAATTGCAATTCGGGCACCCTACCTGGCCAGAGAGCTGGGTTGTATACATTGCTCGAACTGCAATTCGAAACTGTATCTTGGCCCATAGTGCAATTATAACTCATTTTTGTAACTCCCGCGTAGTTTCCCCTTTTTGGTTTCCAACTTCTAATAGAAGACATATGTTTTTTATTCGAATACAACACATATGCCTTCTATTTGAAGTGCCGTTTTATATTGAGAAAAAGTGGATCAACTTTCAAGTTCCGGGCCCTGGGGACTACGAGCACCGTTTATTTTCTTCCCAGGCCAGGTCTGTGCCTGCAAGGACTGCCTGCCCCCCTAGAGGGCCCTGCCTACACCCTTCCAGGGACCATTTGGGCCAAACAAAATGAACAACCAGTGAAACGAAAATGCCCAGGGTGTATAAACCCATTCCCAAGGGGCTGCGAACTGGTGTTCTGGAGACCTGTCGGACCAAAACCTTGTTGTATACCCAACACAATCTGCACTGCTGATATTTCTATCGGCACGAATGTGCGTACCGTCCAACCGAAACGTTAGAGCATCTTAGTGCATAAGAAGTAGGTCAGACAGTCACACTCATTCCATCACCAAACCTGAAGCTTCGGCAAGAGAAGCCGTGGATGTGCTGGATGCTCAACATAAGAGGCTTGGATATGGTGGTATTCAAAATTCGACTGAAGATTGTTCTGGGTCTACTTGTAAACTTGTAAAATGGATTGGTCGAATGTGTGTGTACTTTGAAACATCAACCCCTGAAGTCAAATAAAAGAAGTGCAGAAAGGACAGAGGACGAAAATTGTCGCCACCAGGGAGGGGTATATATATATCGTCACAAACAGAACTGCCCGGTAAAACCGTAGGCAGAGAGAGAGAAAAGGACAACAAACGAGGGGCTGTGATATCTATCACAGCCCCTCGTTTGTTGTCCTTTTCTCTCTCTCTGCCTACGGTTTTACCGGGCAGTTCTGTTTGTGACGATATATATATATATTGACGATATATATATATATATATTCGTATTCGAACTTCTTAGGCAGGTGGTGTCCGTAGTTATTCACAATACTTGACGGGATATCATTTAATTGGGAAGGGCCCAAAAAAATCGACGATTGCTGCCGGTATGCCCAGCCAGGCCCGGCACGGGCACCCGCATTGGGCTACACGCGTGGGGCGTGTTGGGTGCGGAGCGGAGAGACTGCGCCTCCGGGCCTGATGGGCACGCGGACCCAACAGGGGAGTCCATCGCCCACGTCAAGATTGGATTACCTGCCACGTAAGTGACACTTAATTGTGATTGTGATGCCACGTCAGCTCGCGACGAGCGAGGTCGTGAGCATCCGCATCAGAAGGTGAGTACGAAGTCAGGAGATCAAGCTCGTTCTTTGTCTTTTCTTTCCATCTCTGGCGTAGTACGTGTGCTGCTGCTGCGCCTACGCCTGTGTGTGTGTGTGTGTGTGTGTGTGTGTGTGTGTGTGTGTGTACACGTGCCCGGTGACAAAATAACCTTCAGTCTACTCGACGTACCTCCACATTCTCCATCGACTGGTGACGGATATTCAGTGCGTTGTGTGTGGCAGACAGGGGAGACAGACAGGCAGTAGACAGAAAGACGGACAGAGACAGAGAGGGGGAGGGGGTGGATTATGTGTGACCATCGATTCGCGGGCGGACAAACGTGAGTGCACAAAATATCGAGCCGCGTGTATGTGGTAGTCCTGAGAATCTCGATCGCCTGGTCATTCTGCGCCCTTTCTTGAGTAGCGATGGCAGTTCCGGCTGTGGCAGCCGGGACGGCACCGGCCATCTCAAGCTGCGCAGGTAGCAGCCACGTGGCATCCAGCCCCAACGCAGCGCGATCGTCACCGACGACGTCCCGTCCGAGGCAAGCTTTGGGGTTGGTACCGCTTTCAGTTTCGGCGCGCCGCAACGGCGTGCAGGCGCAATGCGCGGCGGCGATGATGCACGTTCTTTCCAGCGTGTCGTCGTGCGAAGGGAGGGCCTGGCTGGCGGCGGGGGAACCATCAGCGGGAGGAGGTCGGAGGATGGCGGGGGGGGGGGGTGTAATTGCCCTTCATTGCAGTTTGTTGTCCGGCGGCTGCCGGGGGAGCAAGGGTAGCGG